GTCCCTATGCCATTCCCAATCCCCCATCCCTATCCCAGTCCCATTCCCTGTCCTGTCCCTATCCCATTCCCAATCCCCCGTCCCTATCCCAGTCCCATTTCCTGTCCCCATAGGGTCCCAGTCCTCTATCCCATTCCCAGTCCCCTATCCCTATCCCAGTCCCATTTCCTGTCCCCATTCCCAATCCCTCCAATCCCAATTCCCATTCCCTGTCCCCATGGGGTCCCAATCCCCTGTCCCCATTCCCTGTCCTGTCCCTATTCCATTCCCAGTTCCCCATCCCTAACCATACCCCGTTTCCCACAGCCCTGCCCAGCCACACGTGCGGGAACCCGGGCCGGCTGCAGAAYGGGGTCCAGCAGGGCACCACCTTTGGCATCGGGGACCGCGTCCGCTACAGCTGCAACCCCGGATTCTTCCTGGAGGGCCACGCCCTGCTCACCTGCCAGCCTGGCACRGGCCACGGCGCCTCCTGGGACTTCCCACTGCCCGTCTGCAGAGGTACGGGATCCCCCACAATGGGGGCATGGAGCTCTTTGGGGTTGAGTTGTGATTAATCCCCTTTAGTGGGTTAATTAATGGTTTTTAATGGGTTCTTTAAGGCTGCTGGGGTTTGGGTGGTTAATGGGAAGGGTTAAAGTGCTTGGGGTGTTAAACTTGATGGGATGTGGGTTTGGATTTCGAAGAGTTGGAAGGTGACTGTGGTGTGGTCAATTTGTAATTAATCCTCTATAGTGGGTTAATTGATTATTTTTAATGGGTTCTTAAGGGTGCTGGGGTTTGGGGGCTTAATGGGAAGGTGTAAAGGGTTTGGGGTGTTGAACCCCTCAAACGGGGGTCAGGGAGCTCTTTGGGGTTGAGTTACAATTAATCCCCTTTAGTGGGTTAATTGATTATTTTTAATGGGTTCTTTAAGGCTGCTGCAGATTGGGGGGTTAATGGGAAGGTGTGAAGTGCTTGGGGTGTTGAACCCCTCAAACGGGGGTCAGGGAGCTCTTTGGGGTGGGTTTTGCTCTGAATTTGAGCTGGGTTTTGCCCTAAATTGTTTTACCCTAAATTTGATCTGCGTTTTACCCCAAATTTGATCTGCGTTTTACCCCAAATTTGAGCTGTGTTTTACCCCGAATTTGATCTGTGTTTTACCTCAAATTTGAGCTGTGTTTTGCCCCAAATTTGATCTGCATTTTACCACGAAGTTGAGCTGCGTTTTACCCCAAATTTGAGCTGCGTTTTGCCCCCAATTTGAGCTGGGTTTTGCCCCGAATTTGAACTCAGTTTTGTCCTGAATTTGATCTGTGTTTTACCCCGAATTCGCGCTGCATTTTACCCCAAATTTGACCTGCGTTTTACCCCAAATTTGACCTGCGTTTTTCCCCAAATTTAATCCACATTTTACCCCAAATTCAAGCTGAGTTTTGCAGCTCTGACCTCACCCCTCTCCTCTCCTTCCCCTTGCAGCCGACGACGCCTGCGGGGGGACCCTGCGGGGTCAGAGCGGGATCATCTCCAGCCCCCACTTCCCCCTGGAGTACGGCAACAACGCCGACTGCACCTGGACCATCCTGGCYGAGCCCGGCGACACCATCGCCCTGGTGTTCGTGGAGTTCCAGCTGGAGGACGGCTACGATGTCCTGGAGGTGGCTGGAACCGAGGGATCCTCGCTCTGGTAGGTTCYTGTTGGCATTGATTCATTGTTGGAAGAATTTGGGGCACCACTCGTGGTCTGTGTGAGCTGAGCAAAACTTGTTGGGGTGGTCAGAATGAGCAGTTTTGTTCCTGAAGGATGG